CCTGTTAGTTTCTGTTTCCAGAAAATATATTACTTTCCAGGGATGGCAGGAGACCCAGAGAGTCTAATTGCGAGTCATTTCACTAATAAAAGATGCAATGTGGTATGGCATTATCCAGAGAGCCCTGGGATAAATGCAAGAATGGAAGAGCCCCAGGCTGGTCATGGCCCTGGTTAGCTAGATGAATCTTGGACATGTCATTCAACTTCTCTAAGTATTGATTTCCTAGGTAGTCATTCTTCTTCCAGACAATTAGACACTAAATTAAAAATTCTTTCTGTTTCTAGAACTGCATGGCAATGTGAGGTATGGGTTTTAACAACAATTGTAATAGGTAACAGTTAATACCTGGCAGATACTTTTCCAATTGTGATGCATTTATTAACTCATGAGTCCTCCAAATGACCCTATGAAGGACATACTCTTCTTGTTCTACAGATGAGGAAACTGAAGCATGGGTCATTGAACAACTTGCCCAAGTCACCCAGATTATAAGGGAGACAAGGAGGATTCACACCCGGGCTTCGGATCCCAATGCCTCAGCCACTGCACTCTCCCACCCTGCCTGTGGTTAGAAAGGCCATTGGTCTTTCTCTGTACAACTCTTTATAAAGACAAGCCACAGAGCAGGCCAAACCACAGTGCTGTTAGGCAAATTCAGCTTCACAGAGTTAAATTGTATTTTACATGGAATCAAAGTTATTTCTTTTGTGAGTTTTATATCAGTAATTCTGGAAATGAAATGCCAACCCACAAATTTTCTGTCTCTGATTTAATTTGCCTACTATGATTTGAAAATAAGGAACTATGATCCATGTTATTGTCCCACATCAGAATGTTTCAAATACCTGTTTCTGCTGCTGGAATATAAAACCTTAAATTGGGATAGTCAGAACAAAAGACTAACAAGGGTAAAGTATTTGCTGTTTATTGAGATAAAGTTAAAACAGTGTTATAGGGGTTTCAGAGATACAGTCATCTTTCTGAAAACCTCATATGGCAACACATTTTCGTCTAGTACTTTTGCATGTGAAAACTTACCCTGGTGTAGTTTGGTGACTCTAGTCACTTGACCATTCTAAAGTTCTCAAAACCAGTGTGTGGGATGACAAAGTTTTATGAAATAGAATTTTAGTTAAGAACAGTTAATCTTCACTATATTCTGTTGAGTTACTCTGCACCTTGTCAATGGGATGGCTTGTCATAACCAACTCCTGGAGAGACATGGGGCTGCAGGGCTGCTGACCTCTGGAGACTGGAATGTGAATTCCCCTGTTGGGACACAGCCAGCTTCCTATTTACTTAGAGACATGGGGCTCCTTTGGAGCCAAGCAGAAGTTGTGATGCAAGTTTTGGCTGCAAAGCATGTCAGGTTGCCTGACGTGTTTAGTTAAAATGTGATCTGAAAGATTTCTCAAAGCCCTAGTTGGTTGAAGGCACAACAGGATTAAATATTCTTTTATCGTCCTTTTAACTGAGTCCTAAGTAAACAGGAGGCCAGTGTAATGAGGAGGCGCCCTCTGCGTTCCGATAGTGAAGTGGGTGTCAGTCTGTAGCTGGGTGAACAGTGCATGGGGAGAGCTCTATCCTGCCCATGGTGTCAGTCAAGAAAACAGTGACAAGGGGAGCCAGTGGGGACTGTTTTTTTATGTGACTAAATGTCTTGCAAATTCCTAGGAGTGTGTGACTGTGTTCATGAGTGTGTGTGTTTGCTTTTTAAACACAATGAGGCACATGGGCAAAAGAATGAAGAAGAAGAAAAAGTCAAGTTTAGAGACTGTGGCTATGTGGGGTGCGTGGGAGGGGCACCCAGGACAGAGGTGAAGGAGAGAAAGGTGGCCTACAGAGTGGTGGGGTAAGGGCAAGGACTGAGGGGCACTCCCAGGCTTTGTGGAACAGGTTAGAAGCATTTCACCTGGTTTAGGATTTGGAGATGGTGCTTGGTCCCTTAGGCAGATAGGCTGAAGATCAGTCTGTCTTCATTAGGTGGGAAACAGAGGAAGGGAAGAGTTTTCCAGGAAGGGCCAAAGGCAGGAGCGAAGGTGTCAAGATGTGAACATCCTGGTGGATAGCTACAAGAAGATCTTTCGAAATCCTTATGGCTAGAAGGAATCAGCTGGAAAATTCACAGGTTGCGATTCTGTTGTGGCAATAGCTACTGAGGAAAAAAAATCGGATTCAATTAATGAAATATTAAAAATGCAAGTGAGCTGACCTTTCAGCCAATCTTTATAGTATTAAAGGATTAAATAAGTAAGTTCTTGGTAATTAGAGCCCCAGGGAGAATTTAATTTGCATCTAGGTATGACGAGTGTTTAGTAATTCAATACCAAACTTACTTTGGTCAGTATTAAAGCTGTGTCTCACTCAGGCTGGTGATGAGTTAGGTTAGCTATGGGGTGATACCTAATGTTATCACTTGCCAACCAATGAGTATTAAAATCTGCTCACTTTGGGCTTACTAAATGAGTTCTGAAGGTGTCATGGAGGAGGCCAGGGTACTATGGTGACTTCTATGCTTATGTGACTTTTGTCCAAAATTTTAGGAACCTGTCAGGAGTATTGATTATGACACTATCCTCATTGGGCTGAGGACAGGGATATAGTTTATGTTCTTAAGACAGACAGGAAACCTGAGAATGAAAGTAATTAGATAGCTTGCCACCGATTGCACACACCCCAAACACAAAGTGAGGCAGGTATAAGTTTAACTATGCTAGAGCCTCTGAAGACATTGTTTTCTTAGCCAAATTTATTTGGCTGTTTCTGAATTTTATTCTCTGGAATTTTTAATGTAGACCCTACTTGTATGTATAAGAGAGACAGGATCTTGCTGTATTGCCCAGTCTGGCCTCAAACTAGTAGACTCAACCAGTCCTCCCATCTCAGCCTCCAGAATACTGAGGACTACAGGTGTGCCATTGTGCCCCGATGATCTTGCTTTTTACTGGTAGAAGAATGTAGCATTTGACACCTGGATTGCATATACATTCCTGTTTACTGGTGTTTTTATAGAAACAAAAGTTGATTGCTGAATGAAAGGAAATGTACTTTTAAAACTTTGACAGATATATTGTCAAATTGGCCTCCAAAAATTATTCCTGAAATAGCTACAGTTTTTTTTTTTTTTAAGGTGCCTGGTTTTGTGCTATGCACTTTGAATGTGTTACTTCAGTTGGTCCTTGGAAAAACTTCAGGAGAACAGCACCTCCCCACCCCCCCCTAGTTTGTAGGTGGAAATCCTGAGGTTTGGTAAGGAAAATAGCCACTGGGGCCCAGTCAGGACCGTAGCCCAGTTATATTCCTACTAACCCTGGTCAAGACGGACACTTTAGCAATTCTTGTAATATTTGTTAATTTTAGAGGTAGCAGATGACTTGGTTCTTTTTTTATAGATATTTTTTAGTTGTAGATGAACACAATACCTTTATTTTATTTATTTATTTTTATGTGGTGCTGGGGATCAAACCCAGTGCCTCACCCAGTGTCTCAAACCCAAGTGCTCTACTGCTGAGCCCCAGCTCCAACCTCAGCTCCTGGTTCTTAAGTCTCCATCTTGGATGGGATTGGAGGTCTTGGCCTGTGTGTTGGCTATTGGTGTTTATGGTCTTATGAATTTTTCTTCATATTTTTTGTCCCATTTTTTCCTGGATTGTTCACTGTTTTTCTTAACGATTTCTACACATTATAAATAGTAACCTTTTATCACATTTTGCCAATCCTTTTTTCACCTACTTATTTTTTTCAGCTTTCTGCTTTGGGTCTTTGGCCCAAATGGAACTTTAAATTTCTTAAGTTGCAAATCTGTGAGTCTACAGGCTTTCGACTTTTGTTATCCTTATTCCATTCTAGGAGTATAATATTTTTCTGTGTTTTCTTCATTTTCTATAATCTCCTCCCTAACTTGTATTTGAGATTATTCTAGAAATTGAGTACAAAGTCATAGCCAAAGAGGAAGAATAAGTTCTGGTGTTTTGTGGCACAGGGGGTAATTATAATTAATGATGTTGTACCACATAACTCGAGATGGGTAGAGGAGAGGATTTTTTAATGCCCTCTTCACAAATAAATGGTAAATGTTTGAAATGATGGATATCCTTGAGTGTCCTAAGTTGATAAATTCAGTGTATAAATGTACTGAAATATTGCGCTTACCCTTTAAAGTTGTATAATTATGTCAATTAAAAAAAAAGAAAAAAATATATTTCTTCCAGACTTTAAATTTTATAAGCAAATTATTCTTACATGATTCTCAAATCTCCTTTTTGTATCATTGATTTACTTAAAAGTATTATCAAATATTTAAGTTTTGATTTATTAATCATAAGTCTCTGCCAACATTGGAAAAATTCTAGTATAACAATATAGAAGACATAATTTATTATCTTGATAAGGTACACAGTTTCCAGACTCTTCAGATTAGAAGCCACTATTTTTAAAGGTGAGATTAGAAAATTTTGGACTGCCCAAAGTTGCTTTCTATCAGTCCAGGGTAACAGAAGTGGTTCTGTACCAACTGCTCTGGGACACAGCTCTTGTAGCCTGTGCCATGGGCAGTTCCCTTGTTCAGTTTGTGAGGACACCAGAAGTAAAGGGAAAAAAACATAAGAAACTGCTTCACCTGCCAGCCATTACACTCCAAAGAGAAACATAAGGACCCAGACATCTAGGCTGAGTCTGGGAAGGCATGTTGCTGCCCATAGGGGAGCCTAGGATCCTTGGGAAACTCGTGGTTTGGGCTGGGGGATTGGCCCTGAACAGCCTGTTATCATCAGGCACTGGGATCTCACATAAGTCTAACCTCAAAATGGAAGGGTCCTCAGGTTTAAGAAAAGTAAGGTGTTTTTTCAGGATGTTTTGAATCTTGAAGGAACAAAACACTGGGGAAGTATTGGAACTGTGAGACTTTCTCATATATTAAGTTTTTCTTTCATATATTAAGTTTTCATATATTAAGTTTCTCTTTCATTTTTATTTTTTACCTTTATTTTAATATACAGCCACTCTCCAGAGAGACCGAATCTTCAAACATTTTACCAGGAAGCGCCAAAGGGCTATGCGAAGGCGGGTCCACCAGATCAACGGACACAAGTTTATGGCCACATACCTGAGGCAGCCCACCTATTGCTCTCACTGCAGAGAGTTCATCTGGTGAGAGATCCCCTGGCTTCCCCCTCCTAAGACCCTCTCTCTATCAGAGGCTCCCTTTGGTTCTGTGTGATATCAGGAGAAAGCATGATTATTAAGAACTGTTTTTAGGATCTGATTTTTGCCTCCTCTTCAATAAGTTGTCTGAGTAATTTTGAACCCCATCATCAAGGAAAAAAGAAAAGATCTCAATAATTTCTAGATCCAAGTTTTAGATATTATTTATTTTTCCAATTATTTTAGTAAAAGTGCTAATGAACTGGTCAAAAGGCATAAATTAGAGAAAGAAGCTGGTGGGTTAATACAGAGATAATCAATAAATTAGGTAATTAGCCTGGGAGGAAAAAAAAATCAATGGTATTGATCTTAAGATGGCATGAATCATGTGATGAGTTATGGGAATTAATTGTTGCAAGGAAACTAAATACCCAGTAGTCTTCAGCCTCATGGTATGTAGTGGAAGGTAATGGCCTGAAGTGATCCTATACTGTCATCTAATCCCAGGCAATTAGGGACTAACATAATCAAATAAATTCTAAAGATTCAAGGCAGTATCTTTCAATACAAAACTATAACATAATATAAATTTAAACAGTGGTTATCTTCAGTTAGAGACAGAATTAAGGATGTTTGCTGTATATGGAAAGAGAATAAAGAAACACCCCCCATCCCCCCACCCCCACCCCCACACTGGTGAATTTATATATGCAGCATCTCAGTTGGAGAGAGAGGTCAGTAGTACATGAGAGGAGGTCTGTTAGTGACACAGACTTTAATAATTGTATTTAATGAAGGCAGAAACACTTAATTCAGAGTAATTTCTGAATATTGATCAATTATTTTGGACTTCGATTTTGTGCTTACTTTGGATTTCTTCCTTTTAGCATGAGAACCCAGGATTACTTAGTGTTTCTGGCGTTTTTAATCAAGAATAGAGTTTGAGGTCCTAAATGGGCTATTGCTATAAAGCTTACAAACGTGTTGTAACATTTATAATCTTCAGAAAAAAATCATATTATGTTTTCCATTGAAAAAAATAGTATCTATGGCGTCTTTGAGCCACGTTCCCTTCTGAAGAGTCTGCCCTCTGTAGTTGGCCACAGTCCCAGCCCCCCTCTCTCTGGGTTGCCCAGCTGCTTTTTATTTCACGTCACACCATTCTCTTCCCTCTTTTGTGTGACCTGCCTGGTCCCTTCGGGCTTTGGTGGTGATGACCTCTGAACTCAACTAATGTTCATAATAGAAACATACTTGATAATACCTCTGAATTTTTCCCCCAAGGGAACATTAACTCCTCAACCAGCCTTAAAACTTATGACAAATGCACACACTCACACACATTCTTTCTCACTTAAAATGTTGGTTTATTTTATTTATTTATTGTGTGTGTGTGTGTGTGTTTAATAGTATGAACTCTGACATTGAATCTTATCACCAACTGGGTATGTGAACTTCAGTTATATAACCCACCACTGTCTTCTCATGTGCAAAACAGAGCCAATGATTTTATTTTATTTACATAATAAACTTTTGCATAGTACTTAAAGTTTAAGGTACTTTAAGCATTTTAACAACTTGTTCTATCTTTGTGATAAACCTGGGAAGTAGATACTGTTATCATTATTCCCCTGTATACATGGGAATACTATGGCTCAACAGAGGTAATAACTTGCTCTAAATCACAGCATCTGGCTTTGGAGCATGTGCTCTTAACCATCTTATTATGTGTGCTTACCTCCCATGGATTTCAGGAGGATTAAATGAGATAGTAGCCACTTGGCCCAGGGCCTGATAGGTTTTGTAAAACATGGTCTTTGTTAATGAGAATGAGGATATCATCATCATCACCCAGAGAATGTATCAGGGACAAATCCAAAGTCCGAAGGAAGGGCATATAGTAGCAGCACTTCTGCCCCCCTGTGGACTCCAGGGGTGATGTGGGCACAGGGAAGAGGGAACTGTGCTGGACTCACTGTGTCCTTCTGTATGTTTATTTCCTGTCTGTTCATCTTTCTGTGTATGTGAGGCAGTAAGGTGATGGAGGAGCTGTTTGGTGAGGCTCAGTTGGGGTGGGCTCAAAAAGCTCATCGTCTTTGCCTCTTCCCTGAAATTGTGTTTTCATAAAGAACTGGAGGATGAAACTTATTTTCTTTGAAGGACTGTAATTATAAGAGGTTATTGCTGAAATGTTTGACTAATGATGATTTCTTTCTCTATTGTTTTGAACAGGGGAGTATTTGGGAAACAGGGTTATCAATGCCAAGGTAAGAACACATTTTTTAAAAATCATGTTTAATCTTTTTCCTATGTTAAAAATGATTATGTTAAGAGAAAACAGGATACATTCCATTAATATTGTGATTAATAACTATAGGTCAAAGGAGACCCCTGTATAGTTATAACTCCTTAGTTTTGGTTAGATCTTGGCTGCATTTTAGACAGTGTAGAGGGGATGTTTTTATTTCTAAAGCCAGAATACCCGGTTAAGTTTCATTGTTTAAAGTTTTGTCTGTGCAATAACAAGAAAGTACTAAAAAGTATTGCTGTTTTGTGAGTACAACCTTGAATGTCTAAGATAAAGTTTTGTTTTTCACATTCAATTGTCACTAGGGTTGAGAACTAGCACAATACTGTCTTCATTTAGTCTGCTTAGGGAATAGAAAGCTATTATCCAATTTTTTTTAAATTTTCTGATTTAAAAACAATAAGGAAAATATTCAAAATTAAACTAATAATGATCTTGTGTTACTACACAGTAAATTTATTTTGATTTTCACAATTCTAAGATAAAACCTATTTGCTAGTGTTCCAGTTGAGGTGGGATGAAATGAAAGACCCTGTTCTCAAGTGGTCTAGCTGGGTGGGATCAGCCTTGGCCTATGCTTGGGTCTCCCTTACCATTGGCTTCTTTATCACCCCATGGTTCGCATCTATAGCACTCGTTCTTTTGATTTTCACTGTGCAAATTATTGACAAACGAACACTACATATCCTACAATGGTAATCTACATGTAAATGAGAAAATCTCACCTTCTCTTCTGCAGGCGAATTAAAACATTATTTTCCTTAGAAAAACTGAGTAAGATGTAGTGGATCTAACTTTGATTTTGATATTATGAAAAACTCCATTGACTTTTCAAAGTTAAAGAAAACTGAATATGTAATCAATACAACAGTAATAATTGACTTAGATGCTATCATTTCAGTCCTCAATGAGAAGGTAGTCCACAAGCCAGGTTAGTACCATTCTTTTGCCTGGCCTCCCCAGCACAGGATGTATAGTGATACTCATCTCACACATACCAAGATCAGTTGAGCAACTCTGAATAGACAAGACTATAGTTTTGAGTGTAAAAGATGTGATTTAGAATATCTGTCTTGTTACTTTATTTTCTTTTTTTGGTTTATTTGGTCGCTATTTTCAGTGGGTCACCTGCTAGGAAAGAACATTAGTCAGGAGACATGAGGGATAGTTCTTTGTTCACATCTTGCTAAGGTATATAAGACCAAGTGCTTGGTTGCAGAAAGGTGTACCATGCTAACACCCCTCAGAAGCAAAGCAGACTTTAGAGCAAGGAAAAATTATTGGGGATAATGTTATGTAATAATAATGGAGTCAGTTCTCCAAAAAGACATAACAGTGCTTAACATCTACATACTGTTATACACATATATGTAACATATAGGCCTCAAAATATATGAGATTAAAAAATGATAGAAACCAGGCCCAGTGGTGCATGCCTGTAATCCCAGTGCCTTGGGAGTCTGAGGCAGGAGGATTGCAAATTCAAAGCCAGCCTCAGCAACTTAGTGAGGTACTGAGCAACTCAGTGAGACTCTGTCTCTAGATCATTTTTTTTTTAAAGGAGATGGGGATGTGGCTCAGTGGTTAAGCACCCCTAGGTTCAATCCATGGTCCCAAACAAAACAAAACAAAAACCCTGATAGAACTACAAGGAGAAATAGATAAGTCCACTATTGCAGTTGGAGTCTTTGGCCTCTTAGTAATTAAAAGTCTGAGCAGGCATAAAATGAGTAGGGATGTATTTAACCTAAGCAACCCTGTCACAACTTTGTCCAATTGATATGTAATGAAATATGCCATCTAACAATAGCAGATGACACATTCTTCTCAAGCCCTGAGGAACAGGCACCAACAGAGACCACATTCTGGGCCATTAAAATGTAAAAGAATAGAAAGCATATAAAGCATCTTCTCAGAGCACAAAGAAATGAAACTAGAAATCAATACCAGAAAGATAGTTGGGCAAACTCCAACTATTTGGAGATTAAACCACACATTCTAAGTAACATGCATGTGTCAAAGAAAACTCAGGAGAACATAAAAAAGTGCCTTGAATCAAGTGAAAATGGAATATAATGGGATGCAGCAAAAGCAGCACTCAGATGAACATTTATAGCAATAAGTGCATATTTTAGAAAAGAAGAAAGATTAAAGGTAATAGTCTGAATTTCCACCTTAGGAAACTAGAGGGAGAAGACAAATTCAAGCCTAAGTTGAACAGAAGAAAAGAAATAATAAAATCAGAGCAGAGATCAGGGGAGTTGGAAACAGGAGAACAATCGAGAAACTCTATGAAAGCAAAAGCTGGTTCTTTGAAAAGATCAATAGAATTTATAAATCTTTTGCCAGGCTGACCAAGGAAAACAAAACACACACACACACACACACACACACACGCCTCAAAAACCAAGTTCTTTCTTTGTGAAAGGCGGGATTGAGATCCCCTGTAGAAAAAGACCAGTTCTCTGAGCACTTTCAATGTGGCAGTCCCCAGAATTCAACCTGGTGAAAGCTAGATGTGTGTTCAGGCCCAGTGCTGTTTGCTGACATGTCACCTGTCTTTGTGTGATTAATCCTAAAACGTTCCACATGTCTTGAGGGATCTTAAAGAGATGTATATTTTTATACTGCTTCAACACGTGTGTTTATCCTTTAATGACAAGCTCAATTCCATCTGCACTATGTCAGTTATCTGGATGAAAAGGAGGAAAAAATATTACTCAGAAAGTTCTAAATATTCAGGCAATTGATTGAGACATTCAGCAAACATTTAGTGGATACCTACTCAGCACAAGGCATCATGCTGGGAATTCTAGGCATGGTGGGGCTGCATGTGGAAGGCTTGATGTGAGGGGTCAGGCTAAGGGCTGTAGAAGATCAGAGGAGGGAGAGATGGTTTCAGTGTAGAAGGGGACCAGACATAGGCTATTTTCATGGAAGAGGTTTTTCTGTCTGTTTGTTTATCTATTTTTGATATCAGGGATCAAACCCAGGGGTACTCAACCTCTGAGTCACATCCCCAGTCCTTTTTATTTTTTATTTTGAGACAGGGTCTTGGTAAGTTGCTTAGGGTCTTGCTAAATTGCTGGGATTGGCTTTGAACTGTCGATCCTCCTTCCTCAGCCTCCTAAGCTGCATGGTGGAAGAGGTTTTTTCCTTTTATTAGTTGTATCTTATAAACTTAAGATTTAGTTAGTTGATAGTCTAGAGATGGTAAAGGACATAGGCAATGTTTAGAAAAGGGTGAAGATGCATTCTAAAAAATATTAACTAACTTTGTTTTTATTGGAACAAATGATCCCATAGAAGAAAGATAGCAGGTAGACTGGGGTAACTTCTAGAGGGTTTGAAACCTGGCTAGAAATTTTGAGCACTATTGATTGGCCATTCCATGAGATGCCATTGGAAATTTTAAATCATGGTGCAGAGTTATACTGTGGGAAGAGCCCTCTGGAGGAGGAAATAAGCTCAGGACTTGAAGAAAGATAATTTGAGCATGGGCGAAGATCTCTGTTAAGATATGGTGAAAGAGACAGGAACATGGGAGTGCTGGCTGCCACCATGGGGGGCAGATGTCCAAGTTGAGTCACTTTGGCCTGGTGCAGCCTTCGTTGACTCTGCTGCAACTGGCGGGACTGTGAGCATCTGATAAATGTGTAATTGCTGGATTTAATTTCCTAGTGTGCACCTGTGTCGTCCATAAACGCTGCCATCATCTAATTGTTACAGCCTGTACTTGCCAAAACAATATCAACAAAGTGGATTCAAAGGTAAAAGGTTATTAGTTTGCTGATTAAGCACCTACAGGGTGTGTGTGTGTGTGTGTGTGTGTGTTTGTATATACACATGCATGCATGCTCTCTCTCCCTTCTTCCCTCCCTCCTTCTGAATGTCTTTTTCTCCCCTCCCCAATTTCCCTCCCACAATCTGTGAGCCCAGGATGGTATTAGAATTGAAATTTCTTTCCTTTTTAAAAATGTTATTACATTTTGTATTTCTGTTCTTGTGTTGCATGGCCTTGCCTTCTGAGGGGCAAGTGATCAGCTGGGCAGAAGCTCTATGGATCCATTTTACTAATGTGGAGACAGCTGTAGGGCTGACCACCCAGATTGGCATGCCCAATCTAGCCTTTATTAGTGATCTTCTCTGTGAGCTCAGGATGGCCCATAACCTCTCTGTGTTGCAGTCGGAAAACAGGATCAATATTCCCCTTATGCTTATTTTGTAGGGGTTTAAATGAAATAGAATTGACAAGTATATTGTTAACTGCACATTCTGCTTCCTAAGAGATTGTTGGCCTCCTCCAACCTCTTAAGAAATTTCAGGAAGGATATATACCTGTATGTAAAAACAGGGACTTCATTTCTGCCCCTCATATTGCATTTGGCTAGAATAGGCACACATTTCAAATTCTGGTGGGAAAAGCAATGGAGTATCGCTGACACTTAGCAATGGATTTGCAGATGCTTTGGAAAATCTGACTCTTGGACGCAGTGGTTGTTTAATGTACACATTCAGGATTGTTAAGGAGTTCATACAGGGAGGTATGAGCCACAGCTTTTATGAGAAAGAGGGCTGAAAAGACTCAATAGGAATAATAATTGCTCTCCTCCTTGTCATTTTCGGACCTGTCATTATTGCTTCAAATTACAATGTAGGCCATAGAGCATACAGCTAGTGTAATTATTTGCCAGAAACAGTATGTGAGATTAAACCAGGAACTTTGGGCTCTGATTATTAGAATGCAAATGCCAGACAAAGGCTGGAAGGGCTGAATAATGTGGCCACTTTAATGTCGCTTTAGAATGACTTCCTTCTGTGATTCCATGTCTTCTGAGTGCCTTCTTTTTGTTCCCCCTTGTGACACAACATCTAAAACTTATAGTGATAACAAATTATATAGGGTATAAAAGACCCATTTAATCTTGAAGTCAAAACCTTCTAGGAAATAGGATTGGGTGTTGAGGGGATTGGCAGGGAGAGATCTGTGGCTTAAATATAAAAGACAAAATGAAAATCTTGATTTCTATTTATCTCTACAAATGGTGGATGTTCTAATATACACCTCACATATCTGTCATGTCTTGTTCATTAGAAAATGTACTAAGTATGGTTAATGAGACCTGAGTAATTAATGGGAGCTGAGTATAGTAAAATAATATACCCAGCTCAAATGTCATTGTAACACTTTGCATTTGGTAGGCTCCTGTTATCGTTTTTATAAAAGAGTTGATATGAAATTTTAATTCTTGTCCTCTCGGTTTTTTTTCCCCCCAGATTGCTGAACAGAGGTTTGGAATCAACATCCCACACAAATTCAGCATCCACAACTACAAAGTGCCAACGTTTTGCGATCACTGTGGCTCCCTGCTCTGGGGCATAATGCGACAAGGACTTCAGTGTAAAAGTGAGATGCTGAGGTTCTGGGAACCCACTTCTTCATGAGAACATCATCCTACTAGATTTCATAGTTCTGTAGGCTCAGTATCTGACCTAGGACTGAGAGTTTTAGATATGTTGTATGTTAGCATCTTAATGGTTTTATATTATGTGCCCCTTGTCAAGCATGTGAAGAGAACTACATCCGATCCCTAAATTAACATAGAACATTAAGCCAAATGTTAAATTCAATAATCTAGCTGCCTATCATCTAATTGTTGTTGAGTGCAGACTAGGCATTATGTTTTTAAATAGGTATTTGAAAGAAGAAAAATGGGATGTTGGTTAGAGGTGGAAATGGTGGGAGGTGAGGAGGTGAGATGGCCAAGAGAGAAGATTGCATTATGAGTAAGAACTGGTGGGAGAGTAGGTCTGATGCCCTCACCAGAAATAAGGAGGAGTGGAGTTGTCAAAGCCTAGCAGGAGCTGCCCTGGGTCTTCTGCAAGAGTTCTTTAAAGGAGGTTGTAGGAGTAGGTGGAATAGAGAACACTGAAGCTTTGATTGTGGGCTTGCATCTTACCAACTGGGCTCAGCACCTTTTGGAGCTTTTGCCCTTGCAAAGGCTCTATGGCATTGAGGGCTGATCCCTGTCCTATAAGGAATTAGCCTTGAGTCATCTCCCATTGAGACATAATGATCTGTTGTGGGTTGCACCTGAAGCCTCATTAGATGCCTCCTGAGTCTCTGGGCCAGGGGAGCAATGGAAGAGGTAGAATTGGTGTGTGTGTGTGTGTATGTGTCTGTCTGTCTGTCTAACCAACTTCTATTTTCTGCCTAGACTTACCAAACCTGCTTCTATAGACAAAAGGACCAATCACATGTCATTTAAAAGAGCGAATTCTTCAACCTTTTTAGAACACCATTTAATAATTATTTTTTCACAAAACTAAAATAACAGCTTGCTCATGTATAATTTTTAGAGTTTGGGGTTTTGTTGCTGCTTGACCTCAGCTTGATGGTCTCACCTAGGTGTGAGTGTCCAACCCGCCAGTCACTGTCTGCTTTCCTGGGTTGTTGCTTGTGTGCAGAGCCATGCAGGGCTTCATCTGCATTGCTTTTGTACCTGGTGGCCTGAGGACCACAAGCTTGCAGTGCTCTAGCTCCTGTAATGTTTGTTTTCATCGTCCTGAGATGGCTTTGAAAGGCCACTTGTAGGCCTTTGTGTCTGCTCTATCTAGTCTTCCTGAGAGAGGTGAATTTTCCATGAAGCTATGAAGGTTAAATTTAAGATTCCCTCTCTACTTTATTTAGCATGGTTTTTCTTAGGGCTTCCTAAATTGCAACAATTCAAGTCCCATAAAACCTGGGTTTGTGCATGCTTCCAAAGAAGGGCTGACTCCATAAAATAGAAATTGGTTGCATGTAGCTTCAGTTCTACCTCCCATCAGCAGGGCCCATATCAAGAATCTGTCTGAGGGGCTGGGGCTGTAGTTCAGTGGTAGAGCACTTGCTTAGCATGTTTGAGGCACTGGGTTCCATTCTCAGCACCACATAAAAATAAATAAATAAAATAAAGGTATCGTGCCCATCTAAAACTAAAAAATTAAGAAAAAGAGTCTGAGAATTTACTTCTCCTGATTGAACCTCAGAGCCTTCAATGTTCCAAGTCAGCTTCCTGAGCACAAGGAAAAGCTCACTTTGCTGGTTTCTTCCACCTGCCATTTACCCTGGTCTTCAAACGTTTGCAAAGTTGCCTTTTTCTTCTGCCATAAAACAGTTAGAACTACAGGCTGCAAACTCTCAGAACCACAGCCCCACAGGATGTGTGGCGGAGCTCTGAGAGATGCCCAACCACAACAATACTCAGAAAACTTGACGTCATGGCTGGCTCTTCTCTCAGAAACACCATTTCCATCCTGTTTGAACAGTGGTCTCTATTGTGGGCATTTAGACTGCTGCCTTTCATTTCACTGTTGAGAGAGAGAAGGAAAAGAGTAGTCAGTGGACATCCTTTTTATTTGTGAGCTGTCTTCATATTGGATCATGAAGGGAAGTCAGAAATGACTGTTACTTGTAATTTATATGAATATGTTTCATCAAGTCACGGTAGAATTAAAATATATTTGAAATCTATTCTTCTTTAGAAGACCAGGATTTCTGCTTCTGCACAAAACAGAAATAGATAAAAATGTCAGGAATTTTTACAAGTGTGAGATTAATTTTATGAGATGACAGTGTTCGTCTTGCATAATTCCTTTGTCCTCCTCATTCAGGTTGTAAAGTTTCTCTGTTAAAGCACATGTTAACCTGGCTCTTTTCTGACCATGTGTTCTATTTTCTCTCCCTCCAGTATGTAAAATGAATGTACATATTCGATGTCAAGCAAATGTGGCCCCTAACTGTGGGGTAAATGCGGTGGAGCTTGCCAAGACCCTGGCAGGGATGGGTCTCCAGCCTGGAAATATCTCTCCAACCTCGGTGAGACTTTGCTTCTTTTCATGTATTGCAATTTAAAAGTTGTTAGATGTGGTGACCCCCACCATCAAAATTTCTATTCTCAGCAGATACATTAAACAGAGGTTTTGCATTTTTTAAAAAAGCATTTTGTTCCACAAATAAGAGCTTATGTATAGTTATGCTACTAGAAATAACAACCATGCAGAGATACCAGGAGGTGGCAGAAAGATTTTTGTTTTCTTTCTTTCTTTTTTTTGTTAGTTTCTCAAGACAATACAATGATCTTGACATCATACATTTGATTCAAATGAATTCTTATTTTTCCACGTGTACAGATTGCAGGATCACATTGGTTATACAGCCACAAAGTGGGGGGGGGGGGAGAGACAGAGAGAGAGGGAGAAAGGAAAGAAAGAAGAAAGAGAGAGGAAAGAAAGGAAGGAAAGAAAGAAAGAAAAGAATCATCTTACTGTCTGTATGGTTGAGTGAAAAGCTTAGAACTCAGAGACCTTGGTTATGCCCTTGTCTAGGGACTGGGCAGGAGAGTTGATCAGTAGCCACCAGCCTCAACTTCCTCCTCTCTGAAGGGGTTGAACTTGAAAATCTCTGTGGTTCTCCACTGCCCTGAAGTCTAATAGCTCTGCAATTTTTGTTTATGGACTGTGAATTTATCTCTTGCATTCAGCAACTGACAGGAGTTCCTTCCTCTGGGCTCTGTGGAGTGGGTGGAGTTGGTCAGTGGCCCTGGATGTGTTTTGTCATGCAGGCTCCCTGGGTGACCTCTGTTGGCTAGAGCCTTGGCTGCTTCCCAGGCACATTCTTATTGCTGCCTTCCTGGCCAACGTCTGCAGAGAAATAGCCATGGCTATATGGCTGTGAGATCTGTAAGGTGTAGCCTTATACATGGTTCTGGAAAATTCTAAATCAAACTGTTGCCTAATCTCTGGGTATGTGGGAAGGGAAGTGCAATCACTGTGAAGTTCTTAGTAACTTATAAAATGTCAACACTAACCAGCTCGTTTCCTTTTTAGTGAAAGGCTTCTGTCTAGTAGACAAGGGACTTGTATTGACAATGTGTTTCTTGATTTGACGAAAGTTACCAGAAAATTCCAAGTCCGTCTGTCTTATGGGGAGAGGCAGATAGGATGTTAAACCAGTGAGAGAGATTTCTAGTGCATAAGACAGCTGTTCCTAAAGAGAGGACAATGAGGATTTCAGCCTGAGCCAGGGCTTCTAAAGCACAGAGGGAATGACATAAGACAAATGATACAATCTCTAGACGTGGGTAGTATCCCTTCTTGTTTGAACTAAGTATCTTTAATGTTATGCTAGTTAATGTTATGCTAGGAAAATCAGGATTACTTGCTATATGACTTTACAACATTAAAAGGAGAACTTTAAAAAAAAGAGAAGAATGTGTTTTAAAACAAAAAAGACTGAGAAACACAGCCTTGGAGTTTTCTAGCTGTTGCACACCCAACAAGGCAAAGTATGTAAGTGAAGGAAGTGAAATTTAAGCTGGTACCACTTTTCTATCTTTGAAAAAACTGTAATGAGAGATTTAAAGGAGGAACTGTTAAAACCACTGGATTTTTAAGATACCCATTTTGTATCTGCAATCACTGTTTTATGGGGTTGAATAAAACCCTTGAAGTTTCAGGCAGCTGAACAGTGGGTTTATTGGCATCAATAGTTAGAAGCTGCCCCAGATAAGCTTTGTGTAGCTAAATAGGTCAAAATCTTCAGGGTGTTAGATTTTGATCTGTTATCTTATGGTAGATTGCCTTATAAATGTCCCAAAGTGGGCAATTGCAAAAGTCACCTGCCTTTGGGTAGCTCCTCTCTGTGAAGGGGCATCAAGGATCCAGGATCTGACCAACGTGACCACATTTACTGCTGGTACCAGGCGGTGAAACTGAAGCTGGTGAATATGTAAATTGGCCCATCTTTGTAGAGTGCAAAGTCTTCAAAGTTCGTACTTTGGCCTAACAGATTTCATTTCCAAAAAGTTACTTGAAAAAAATAGATAATGGTAATGACAGCGTGGCTGAAGTGTATTGACTGACAGGCACCAATCTGTGCTACGTGTTTATTTATTTCTCATGGTAACTTGTATGGCAGATGCTATAACTGAAATTTTGTCAGAAGAGGAAACTGAGGCTGGGTAAGGTAACTGGCTCAAGGTCACAGGTTAGGTTGCAGAGCAGTTACTTGAACCTAGGCAGCTTCCTTCAGAGCCTGAACTCATTAACCACCCTATTTTGAAGATTTGCATATAAGTATATTCACTATGGTATGAGTGCGTGTATTATGTACACTGTGGTTTAAAAAATGGAAGATGGCCTGTATTTTCAATAATAAGGAAATTACTAAATAAATAATGATATGTCCATAAAATGAATTATTGAACAGCCATTAATGCTCATGTCCTAAGGATGGGGATATAACTCAGTGGTAGAGCACTTTGCTAGTGGTTATGAGATCCTGGGTTCCATCCTTAGCACCACAATAAATAAATAAATAAATAACTTTCATATTCTGAAAGGATCCTTAAAGATATGTAAAACACACATCACCAATTTTTAAAGAAAAAAATGTGTTATAAAACATAATTATGTTTTAAAAAGTTTACTAAAGTACGAAAATATGCGTGTCTCTTTGTTTTTAAACTGTATATGTTTTGAGAAGTGGCTGATGAAATTTTAGGTATTTAAAATTTTATCCTTTGGACCTTTTGTAATTGTTCCAATTTTCACATTGAATTTTAACTTCTCTTATATAATTTAAAATTCTGTATTAAAAACTTTGCATCACGGCTGGGGCTGGGGCTCAGTGGTAGAGCGCTTGCCTAGCATGTATGAGGCACTGGGTTAGATTCTCAGCACCGTATATAAACAAATAAAATAAATGTAATAAAGGTCCATCAACAACTAAAAAGTAGTAAAAAAACAAAACAAAACAAAAAAACTTTGCATCATTCATTTTGTGTGCTGATGTGGGGCAGGAACTTGATCCTCTGCACAAACACGAAAACCGCTCTTTGCACGAAGTGGACACTAGGTGGCGCTCCTAGACTCCAACAGCCCTATGAAAAGCCACAGCAAAGAACACAGAGGGACCAGCCTAAGGCATCCATCCATGTTTCCATACACTCCATTTGAGCTCAAACTGCAAATTCCTGGCTTAGATATATTTTATGATGATTTTTTTCCACATAGAAGTAGGCACAATCCAGAAGTTGCTGCTAAGGTAGTGTTGATCATCAGCTGAGCTGAGCTGATCTTTCCACGTGTGCTGGATAGAAGGTTGGGAATGCCTCCATCTAGGAGGGTCTTCTCCATCCAAGCATACTTCATGCTCACACTGTAATTTCTGACTTAACATATTCTTTCTCTTCTTTGTAGAAACTTGTTTCTAGATCGACCCTAAGAAGACAGGGAAAGGATGGCACCAAAGAAGGAAATGGGGTTGGGGTTAATTCTTCCAACCGATTTGGTATCGACAACTTTGAATTCATCCGAGTGTTGGGGAAGGGGAGTTTTGGGAAGGTGAGTCTTGATGAGTCTTGAACTGTCTGGGTTAATGTAAACATGTTATATGTATGTTCTTTATGTGTGTCTGTGTGTACACCCATCCACTTGTGTGCCTCTACACTAAGAACCCACAGAGGCCTCCCTCACACTCCCTCCTGTTTTGCCCTAGGTGATGCTTGCAAGGATAAAAGAAACAGGAGACCTCTATGCCGTGAAGGTGCTGAAGAAGGACGTGATCCTCCAGGATGACGATGTGGAATGCACCATGACTGAGAAGAGGATCCTGTCTTTGGCCCGCAATCACCCCTTCCTCACCCAGTTGTTCTGCTGCTTCCAGACCCCTGTAAGTATGACTCGGGTTCACTGACTCTGCAGCCTCCATCATTGGAGTTGAGATAATAAGATTTTGAGGATTTTATAAAGTTGAGGATCAGAAATTTTTTTGGAATGGTTCTGAACGTAGGACCATCCAAAGACGTTGGGGACTTCTGGCACCCTCTGGGAAAAGAGAGAAACTAATGAGTTCACCTCTCCTTCCTTCATGTTGTCCTGGGAAAGGTTCACCTCAAAGGCTGTGTGTCCTAAGAATGAAGAACTCTTCCTATGTGTTTTCTCTAGCAGAGTGAAGTTTACAAAGACTAAGAATAGAGTAAATGTTCTAGGCTGATTTTCTTGATGAATTTGGCCTTGATTTTACTCCAGACATAGGCACAAGAGGTCAGAAGAGGGGTCTGAAAATATTCTCTTCTGAGAGAGTAGTCCCAAGAGGGCACCCTGATTTGGAATATCCTGAGGCATTTTTCCCAGCTTCAAACAAAATCTTTTGATTGATGCCACGGACTGATTTGGGACTCGAGTCTGTCCTATCAGGGTTAAGGCAATTAGGAATGCTTTTGGCTGTGGTTAATGGAATACCCAACCAAAAGTGGTTGAAACAGAAACAGTATGGGTTCATTTCATTAATACAGAGTTTGTTCTTTATTTCATGTGATGAGAAGTCTGATGGTAACAATGCTAAGATTGCATTCATTGCCCAGTGACATTGAGCCTGTCTTCCCCTCAGGGGTCTCAGGGTATTTGCAGCATCCCTCAATATCATACCCTCACATGACCAAAGCAGGAAGTACAGCGGCAGAGACCAAAGGGCTGCATGGACCACCCTTCTTTAATCAGGATTAAAAGACTTTTCCTAGATGTAGGCCAATTAATCTTAGTAACAAGGGAGGCTGGAAGAACAAATATCTGGCCAAGATAAACATCAACCTCTGTTCATCCCGAGGCAGGGAACTCTGCTGCTTGTTTAGAATTGGGCTCAAATTTTGAGTTTCTGGTATTGGTAAGAATGGAAATGGACCCTGAGAGGAGACCAAGATTCTGATGGATGAGTCGGAATTTCTTATTGTCAAAAGGCATTCTGGGAGAGCGGCTTCTGGGTCTGCTCCATCAGGGAAGTAGAAGGTGCCCTAGGAGTGGGATAGGGGCATCTCACCTGGTCAGAGATGCTGATGCACAGTTCTATAAAAATTAACAGTGAAGCTGGAACCAGAAGGGTAAATTGAATTACTTAGGCAAAGGGAATAAAGGTGAATATGCCATGTCTGGTAAACAGTGCACACAAATCTGGAGGTGAGGGAGAACATCAGGTGTGAATACAGCTCAGTACGTGTGGGGTTCTGAGGCTGAGGATGGGCCTGGTGGAACTGAGGATGCATTAAGGAGTTTGGATTTTAATCTTAGGAGCAATGGAAAGTCGTGGAATAAATTGAAGCAGAGTGATGATTTTTCAGATTACATTTACTTAACTGTAAGAAACTAATTTCTTACAATATACAAGCACCCTCCAAATATCTGTATCATTTCTCCAAAAGAAATAGTATTTATTAGTTTCATGTGTAGCTGTTCAGAGAATGTTTTGTCCATAAAACCATGCATACCACCTATATGCATGCATGTTTATTTTTTTAAAAAAATCAAAAGCAGTCATATACTTCATCATGATTCTGTTCTTTATTTTTAATATAATAGTATGTCTTGGAGCTTGTTCTATATTTGTGCACACCCAGCTGCTTAATTTTTAATGGCTGTATGATATTCCATTCCATTTTAAGGGCTTGCCACATTTTATTTAATGTGTTCTTTTGTGTGTGTTTTTTTGTTCTTTTTAGATATACATGACAGTAGAGTATGTGTTGGCATAATCTACATATATGGAGTATAACTTATTTTAATTAGGATTCCATTCTTGTGGGTTGTACATGATGTGGAGTTTCACTGGTGGTGTACTCATATATGAACAAAGGAGTTATGTCTGATTTATTCTACTGTCTTTTCTATTCCCATCTTCCCTCTCTTCCTTTCATTCCCCTTTGTCTAATCCACTGAAATTCTGTTCTTCCCTCCCCCACTTGTTGTGTGTTATTTAACCTTCTCTTTATTACCACCTGCTGTGCTGTGTTTTTTGAGTTCACACTCCCAAAGCGTGAGTGAGGAAGCCTCCTACTCCCACTTTCCCATCACAGCATGCTATATATTGCTTTGGTGACCTGGGAGCTTTTTAAAAATGGTATCTTTGAAGGTCTAGCTTGCATTTCTCTGACTGAGGGTGAGACTGAGCAGTCTACTGTTTAAGGATCACTTGCATGTATTGGGAAGGGATATGTGCAGACTGGAGAACAGGTGGAATGGGGAAGACTGGAACTTGGAGATAGGAGGATGCATTAAAGGACATGCAGAGTGTGCACTCCGATGCTGCCCAAGTGTTGGAAAGGATGGGGGAGACAGCTAATGGCTTCTCCAGCCTCCCTCTGCACCTCACGCTTCATGGTCTAGGCTCCATGAGACGACCGCCTCTTTGTCAGTGGCCCTCAGTGGCTCCTGAAGTCCTGGGACTGACCTGCCCCCTTGCCCCTAATTCTTTTCCCATCTCCAGGGTCCTCAGTTCCTTTAGAGCTGCAGTGTTCCACTGCCTTCCACTGCTCCCTGGAATATCCTCCAAACAATATTCTGTGTTCCGCCTTTGCCAATGCAAGCCCTTCGCCCATCCTCACCCTCCTCATCTAGCTGTTTTCTTGGAGAAGAGTGGGGTGACATTTTGGGGTCTGAGAGAGACAACTGAAAGATCAGACAAGTTGTCTGCGGGGATTTCAGGCTCCATCCTCCTGAATACCACGGTGAATACCATGAATCAAGCAGCAGATCTGGGTTATCACTCAGATTGCCTTTCCTAGGGTCCGACAAACAGATTGGGTGGTTTCCTATGATTTTAGGTTAATAGTTGTAACTGGCTGATAACCTTGAGTCAGGCAGTTGACTGGTATTTAGGGACCCTAATCTAAATTCCAGTTGATGGGCTGGGGACATAGCTTGGTGATAGAGCCCTTGCCCAGCACACACAAGGCCCTAAGTTTGATCCCCAACACTGAAAACAAACAAAAACTCAAGTTAGAACTGATTCAGGCAAATAAAGAAGTATGTCTGACCCAACTTCAAGGGTATTTTACTTATAAAAGAAAATCCTCGTGATTCTGTATAAGCAGTCACATGTCTCACCAATAATTACATCATGTTACAGTAGGGAACAAGAAACTAACCTGGGACAGATTAGGAACCCAAAGACTATAGAATGCATAGTTTTCCAAGAAAAGGTATAAATTATACGATATACGATTATAAATTTTAGCGGCCCCATGGGATTCCCAGAGTTTTAGCAGCCAAAGCCTCTACTGGCATGTAGTGTATTTTTTTCTAGTGAAAGTCTGATGTTTGGCCACAAGGTGGCAGTCGTTACTGCAAAGTGATTTTTATTTCTCCACCAGTGAAATATGAAACACATGTAACTGCCATTGGGGTTTAAAAATATATGCATTGCGATACATGTGTCTAACCCAAAAAATAAAGGGAATTCTCCCCTGCATTAAATTTAGATGATAAATGAAATGTTAGGAGCCATCTTGAAAGAATCAATTGAGTTTTTCTCATGCTAAGGTAGATTGCTGTTCTCATTTTTCTTCTCCCAGGTTCATAAGTTATGAGCCTGCACAGTGTCAGTGTACATGGCATTTCTTTACTATGTGTCCATCTGCAAGAAATCCCCAGGAACTATCCCCATTCACTGTTATAAAGCAAACTATAAAGGACAGAAAATGTTGGTTCCTTTGAGAAATGACAGCAGACAGATGATGACTTTTTAACTACCCAGTTCTTCAGGCCCTGGCTTCTTGAAGGGGAGACTCCTCAGTGTTTGATGTTGACCCAGAGGAGACTCCCCTGCAGAGCTGAGAAAGAGTCTAGGTGAGGCCCTGGAGTCACTCCCCAGCTGTCTGATAGTCTTTCCCTGGGAAGGCCCTTGTAGGAAAAGGACTCCCTGGTGTCCAGCCCTGTGGAATCTGCATTGCTGAGGGTCCCTGGACTGTAGGTGTGGAGACAAGGTGGGCCAGACTGACTCTGACCCTTTGGTCATCTGAAGTCTTACACCACATTTTGGGGTTGACCCAGCAGTTGTTTATGTGCCTCCTTCAAACTTCTGAGATTGAAACAGCATTGCTCTCGGGATCAGAAGACCTGAGTTTCATCCTAGCTTTGTTCCCCTCCTTCTAAATAGCTTGAGTCTGTCCTGAAATTCACTGGAGTCCTAAGGTTCCCATGATGAAAATGGAAGCAGAATCGCCCTGAGGTCAAGTGAGGAAATGAACCAGAAATGCTTCCTACACAGTGTGAAGCGCTGCTCCAGAGTAGAGCAAGTCAACTCATTGTAACCTCGACCACCCCCTTCACTGTGCCAAAGACAGGTGCCCCGGGGCTTCCCAGTGGCCAGCAAAGTTCCCCACAGGGAGGCAATCATGAGCATCCCGATGTAGGAATTTTGGAGCTTCTTTTGTTCTTAGCCAAAAAAAAAAGATAAGCAAATTTCAAACACTGGAGAATATATTGAGTTTTCTACATAGATTTATAAATCCATACATTTACCACCTGATTTTTTTTCATTAGAGTACATTGTTTGCATGTATATAGTTAAATTGGCACCTTCATACATTTCTGATAGCATTATAAACTTTAATATTTTGTGAAGAATTTGATAATCTCTATCAAGACTCATAAACTGTACTCTTGGATCTGTTGATTTTATTTCTGACAGTCTAGCCTGTGGCAATGGTGTAAAGAACAAATGTTATACATAAAGATGCTTAATTTTCAGTTGTTACTTTGACACTTTCCCAGATTCCACATAAAAGAGAAATCATGTAGTATTTCTCTTTTTGTGCCAGGCCTATATCACTTAATGTCCTTCAGGTTCATCTGTGATGTTACAAATGACAGAATTTCTTTCTTTCTAAAGGCTGAATA